GTACAGTAAGTACTAATTGTAAATCTACAGGGGACAAGAAAGAGTAAGCAGAACAAACAACCTCTTAAGGAATATGACTATGGAAAGCAAAACTAAGGAAACAACACCATCAAACTCACTCAGTGTACCATATTTGCTCCCTTCTCTTGCTCTAAGCATTCCACCTCATCTTCCTACTAGCCTAAAAAAGGCAAGTTAATATCTGAATGGGAATCTGTACCCTTCTCTGGGCCAATTCACTGCCTTTTCAGTGTAAATTCAGTGCATCAGTGATGCCACTATGAACACAAATGGTTCAGTTTTATTTTTGCAAATCAGGGAGATTCACTCAGCTGAAAAGCTCTAACACCTTTTGGAGTATCAAAAGAGATCTGCTGGATCAAGCTAAAGACCTACCTGAAACGAGGTTCAAAGGAGCCAACCGAACAAGGGACTTTGTTCTATGGAGTTTAGGCATTCCTTGACCACTACATCGTATGGGGTGAGGGGAACTACTTTCCCTGAGTCAAGTAACATAGCTACTTCTTCTCAGGGTGCTTTGAAGATATGTTTTACCGAAAGAACCTTTTGTTTGAAGGAAAGTACTTGGATTTTTTGCTTAGCTGTCTTGTCCAACATTTTGTTCTAGCAACAGCCAACCAGACACTAAAGAGAAGCATGTAAACAACTGTGGTTTCTCCTTATATAACCCCTGATGGTCCATCTTGCTCCGAGTCAGGACATATATTAGCAGATGTTTCTTTAATTCCATTTGTTATTCATGCGAAGGTTAGGTTTCAGTCTTTCTGGATCCTTTCACAAGAGTGACCCAATTCCATGTGAATGTTCCTCAAAGATAACTTAAAAAAAAAAATTACTTCCATGGAATTCAGTCTGTTACTTGAACCTGAATAGGTTAAGAAGGAAGCAAAACCAGGTGGACCAAAATTCACAGACAATTATTTGGACTGAGTACATGTCTTATCATTTCATTTGCCATCGGTGCTCATTTTTATGCAGGCCACATTTACACTGTTTGGCTCCTGCCCCATTCTTCCAGCATTTAAGTCTTCAGAGGCCTTCCATCTCAACACCAACCATTCCAAGAACTGGAGATTTTTCAGGCTTTGCAATATTTTCATCAGGGCATTAGTTTCAGCAACATTCCTGGGAAATGCAATTTGGCCATGAAAACAGAAATAT